CAGATGTTGGGGTCCCTCTCCAGATGTTGGGGGCCCTCACCCGATGAGCAAGGTCCTCATCCAGATGTTGGATCCGCACCCAGACTTTTGGGAGTCTTCATCGAGACACCAGGGGCCCCCCCAGATGTTGTTGGCCCTCTCCAGATGTTGGGGTCCTTCTCCAGATGTTGGACCCCCACCCAGATGTTGAGGTCCCTCTCCAGATGTTGGGGTCCCTCACTCGATCACCAAGGTCCTCATCCAGATGTTGGATCCTCACCCAGACTTTTGGGGGTCTCCATCCGGACACCGAAGTCCCCACCCAGATGCTGGGGTCCCTCTCCAGATGTTGGGGGCCCTCACTCGATCACCAAGGTCCTCATCCAGATGTTGGGGGCCCTCACCCAGACTTTTGGGGGTCTTCATCCAGACACCAGCCCCCCCCAGATGTTGTGGGCCCTCTCCAGATGTTGGGGTCCCTTTCCAGATGTTGAGGTTCCTCACAGATGTTGAGGTCCCTCTCCAGATCTTGGGCCCCTCTCCAGATTCTGAGGTCCCTCTCCAGATGTTGGGGTCTCTCACTCGATCACCAAGGTCCTCATCCAGATGTTGGATCCTCACCCAGACTTTTGGGGCTCTTCATCCAGACACCGGCCCCCCCCAGATGTTGTGGGCCCTCCCCAGATGTTGAGGGCCCTCTCCAGATGTTGGGGTCCCCACCCTGCTCATGGGGTCCCATCCAGCTGTTGGGGTCCCCTCTGCAGTTTTGGGGTCCCCACCCAGATGTTGGGGGTCCCCTCCCCACTTTTGGGGTCCCACCCTGCTCATGGGGTCCCATCCAGATGTTGGGGGTCCCTCCCAGGTGTTGGGGTCCCCTCCCCACTTTTGGGGTCCCCACCCTGATCATGGGTTCCCATCCAGATGTTGGGGGACCCTCCCAGGTGTTGGGAGGTCCCATCCAGATGTTGAGGTCCCCTCCCCCCTTTTGGGGTCCCCACCCTGCTCATGGGGTCCCGCTCCAGGTGTTGGGGGGGTCCCATCCAGCTGTTGGGGTCCCCTCCCCAGTTTTGGGGTCCTCTCCTCACTTTTGGGGTCCCCACCCAGATGTTGGGGGTCCCTCCCAGGTGTTGGGGGTCCCCTCCTCACTTTTGGGGTCCCCACCCTGCTCTTGGGGTCCCATCCAGATGTTGGGGTCCCATCCAGATGTTGGGGTCCCCTCCCCAGTTTTGGGGTCCTCTCCTCACTTTTGGGGTCCCCACTCCAGATGTTGGGGGTCCCATCCAGCTGTTGGGGGTCCCCTCCCCCGTTTTGGGGTCCCCACCCTGCTCCGGGGGGGTCCCACCCAGATGTTGGGGTTGTTTCCCCTCCCCCCCGAATTTCGGGGTCTCCCCCCCCCCCCACGATCCCCCCCCAGATGTTGGGGGG